TAAAAACATGAACATTTTGCACAATTGTAGATATATATTTGGCAGACAATTTAAGCTATGGACCTACCCAACATTATAATAACATCGAGATGATCAATAAAAACGACTAATCACCGAATTTCTACTTCAATAAATAACATACGAGTGCTTCCTGTTTCGGAAGACCTGGGTTGACCCCTAATGTTATTTAAAAGAGACTAGTGTAGTTCATGTTTTCAACATTTTGTTATTTGTTCTTTCTTTTTCAATGTTTGTGTTGTCAACCAATGAAAGTCATGTGTTTCGATCGTGTAAGGAGGGGAAACCATGTTTCGTTTGAAACATTGACATTCGATCAAGATTTTGGTAATTTAGATATACATAATGCTTTTGCATGTTTTAATTTTTTTGATTTATAAGTTTGGAACAGAGATATGTATAACGCAACTATTATATGATATATGCGTATTTGCTGGATATTAACAATCAATATATTCAGACATAAGCGTCTAGGCTAGTATCACATGGAGAATAGGTACAGCTGACCCTTCTTCAGCACCTGAAACTTTCGCCGGCTTTAAAACATAAGGTTATGACGAAGTTGACAAGTTAAGCTATGAAAATGCTGAAATATTTAAAGTTTTGTACTATGTAACGATTTTTTAGCCGTAGTTGAACTCTTGTTGTTGTAAATATTGTCAACGGCTGCTGTTGTAAAACCACCAAGATTCGAGGGAAGAACCACATTTTGAATGTTGAGTATTTCATGGATTGAATCTTCTAGTACTGAAGATAAATTGATAATGAGATCATTCATTAACGACAAACGTAAACTGTACGCTTGGTCATTCAGTACCTCCTTTCCCGGTCCTAGCACCAAGAAGAAGGCCTATATACATTTAGAGATGGTTTACGTTCAGTTTAATGTAATATTAAAGATGAATAGAGTAAACAAACAAAAGTAACTTTGAAATGATTGCCTAAATGGAATAACTCGACTGCGCCTGGATATTTGGCCAAACGATTATTAACTAATGTTTTCATGATTCTGGAAATGACTTTTGCCTATATCATGTCTTTTTGAACTTTCTGAAACTTTCTCAGATTGATGCGCTTGCTTGTCAATTGCAACACCAAAATAATTAACTATACAGAAAAAAGAAAGCACTTGTCTTGTTAATGGGCTGGCTAGATCATTACTCTGTATTCTTCCAGTTTATCATAAAGAAAACTGTTCGAGGCAGGAAGTATACATTCTATGGAAATCTAGCTTAAATATTTAATGATGGCCATCTTTGAAATAGCCACCATATTGAAAATTCAAAGTGGGTTCATAGCTAATATAGGCTGAAACATCGAGAACCACTACCATGCCAAATTTGGCGCATTTATAAGTTGAAAAAACTGTTAATGATCGACCAAAGTCCGTTTTCAGAGACAAAGAGGCTGTGAAATGTCTGTCATCTCTTCATGATAAGTATGTTGTTGTTCCTGCGGACAATCTTCAACTGATACTGTCTTTGTATGTAAATCGTACTACTACGAGTGTCTTGTAAAAGAATAGGAGTAAATGAGCACTCAGGTAATCCCACATGGAACGGGGACCCAGTTATTTGCCCCATTAGAACGCATCAAAAATCATAGTAAATAAATGGGGTGCTGTTCAATAAATAATTTTTGATAGCCACCTTGGGACTTCTGTTTTGTGTTAGGTATTGGTTTCGAAGATTCTAAGTACAATCTCATAACCGGCATTCCGTTGCAAAAAATGTTTTGATTGACAACAGTGTCAGTCGGTATACTTCCGGGGAAGAACAAAGGCTAGACTTAAGGCAATTTACTCTATGCACTGACGCCAAATTATAGTTAAATCAGTCAAAATGTTTACAGAAATTCAAACTAGAAAGCCTATCCTTTCAAATAAATCTACATTCAGTTACAGAACTTGTGTAATAATAACACTTAACCATTTTAAATAAAAGTTATATATGTTTTTAAGAACTACATTCGTGGGTACTGGACTGGTTGCCGTAACTGGGATCCTGTTCCACCTACAAAAACATATCATTTAACAAAGATGAGATTTTGGCGAATCCTAAGTACTTCCCGGCTTCAATGAACATTACATTGAACAGCAAATCGGAGGACTTATCTTGTTTGTATAATGGACCCCTAAGCTTCACAAAATTCCGTACAAACAACGGTACATTGCCGGCTCATCTGCATGATCAATGATACAATTGTCCATTAGATTGACAAAGATTCTGTTCGCAGGGGTTTTCCGAAATACTGTAAAACTGTTTACTAGCGTAGTGGTATTAACCATGTGTGGATTCTAAAAAACTATAATGAACTCCTGGATAATTTTAAATTTCGATCCAAACTTTCGATTTTTCAAATTTGTATACCACCATTCCCCAAGTGAAATTGAAAAATCGTCTAAAAGAAATTATCCACAAGGCTTTTCTACATAAAAACGGTAGCATACGCTATACATGTATTACTTTGGGATACTATACGACATATTTTGTTAATAGTGAACAAAATGAAAACATGCTACACAGAGGAACACGTGATCAGTATGCTGGAGTTTCTTATTGACAACATAATTGTTGAATTTGGAAGTAGACTTTTCAACAAATTGTCGGCATTCCCAAAATTGTGCATCTCTCCTTGCCGACCTCTTCTTAATTTCATATTAGTCGGAGTGCCTTCAGACACTTGTCAAAAACAAGTGGATCAAAGAAGCCAGAACATTTAATTTCACATTAAGATCTATTGATGGTATTTTTTCCATTAACAATCCAAACTTTTATGATTGGGTTCAATTAATATATCCTCCAAAACTATAAATTAAAGAAACAACAGACACGGCTTCCTCCGTCTCATTTTAGACTTATACCTCGAATTTGACATAAGCGGTCTTCTCAGTACCAATATCTATGACAAACGAGACGATTTTAATTTTGAAATTATCAATTTCCCCCACCTTAGTAGCAATATACCAGCTTCACCTGTATATGGCATATACATTTCCCAACTCATCTAGTATTCAAGAGCTTGCAGCTACTACTCACTTTGTAAAACGTCACAAGTTTCTGAGCAGAAGGTTGATGAACCAGGGATATGTGAAAGAACATCTCGTCTTTTTTCTAAAAAAAATCATCGGAAGATACCAAGACCTTCTTGATATTCCATATCAACTTCATAAAAAAATTCACAATGGGCTTGAAGTATAGATTCTAGGTACTGGCGTTGTTTATCATCTTTATAACGTGTTATAGTATTCTGTTATTTGTCTTTGTAAATTGTTACTTTCACTGTTTAGTCTATTTTCAGTAGTGTCTATTTGACATGGCTCGGTACTTGTACATCCCGTCATTGCGTTATTGTGCTGTGGTAAATTTTTGTATATTTGTCTTTCATTTTTGCTCATGTGCTTTGTCTAAATGACTTTTGTTTTTCTTTGTTGACATATTTGTTTGTTTTATAGTGGTTGGGATTATAACACAATGTTGACTGCTGTACCCCTAGTTCTGACATCTTTACCTATTATATCTGTTTATTTTCTTGACACATCGTTGTCAATATAATTGAATTTTATTCAACTGTTATACACGCGGAAGGTTAAGCTAGCTATTAAACTAGGATTAATCCACCCTTTTCTACATAAGAAAATGCCTGTACCAACTCGGGAATATGACAGTTGTTATCCATTCGTGTGATGTGTTTGAGCTTTTATTTTGCCATTTCCTTATGGAATTTCCGTTTAGAATTTTCCTCGGAGTTTGGTATTTTTGGTATTTTACTTTGTATCATCAAACCCACAATTTTGTCACTGATCTTAAATATTTTTCACTTTTACAATTTGAGTTTTTCAACTTACTATCGACTACATAGAACAGCTATATCGACTACATATGTTTTTAAAGGTAGAACAGGTTAATGTTAATGGTGGTATTTTGGGCAAGTGCATGAGTTAAAGATTGGCTGTTTAATAGCAAGAACCATAATTGCAGTAATAGCATGCTATCAAAAACTTCCTTAGCACTGAAAACATATGATGCATGTATTTGAATTTACGCTGACTAATAATTGAATAATAGACAACATTTTTTTGTTCACCCATTTTTATCATTTTCACTCTATTGTTTTGAAAAAGGGTGCTTTTTAAAAAAAAAACATAAGTATGTTTAAATGCGTTTGAATAGGTACTCCTAACCTCTGTTCTGAAATATTTTTATATGTCCATACATAATTTTATTATTCAGAAGACAGAATATTGCAAAAATGCTAACATTATGTAAAATATAAAATTGTTTGTCCTTGACCTTTCATCGTGATTTGACAAAAATTGCACATTAGGAATTTTGACGACAGGGCAAAAACGATAGTACAAATGAGATGCTTTCCAAAAGTAGATGATTTATCCGTATGTTAGATTGCATTTAAAAAACATTTAATTTAACATTAGTTTAACAATTGGTTTACTATGGATTATCTCAACTATCTTATAACGGTTTATTGCTTTGTGATTATATCGAGCTAATACAAAATAAGGTACAGTAAGATATTTTTCAAGGGTGTTCGCAAAATTAAGACTTTGAAAGTTAAATTAAAAGTATTTTAAATGTAGTTCATTGTATTTATGAATGATGACACACTTACCCTTCCGGAGCACCTGAGATCACCCCCAGTTTTTGGTGGGGTTCGTGTTGCTTAGTCTTTAGTTTTCTATGTTGTGTCATCTGTACTATTATTTGTCTGTTTGTCTTTTTATTTTTGGCCATGGCGTTGTCAGTTTGTTTTCGATCTATGAGTTTGACTGTCCCTCTGGTATCTTTCGTCCCTCTTTTGCTTAAATATCTCTTTCATACACGTTTTTGAGAGCTATTCAAATTATGAATGAAGGAGGGAGGGGGGGGGGGGTCCAATTATTATTCGGTATGGATGAGCAGCTAAGACATCTAGTACACAATCTTTTAATTCATTTAGAATAAGAGAAACACATAACTGTTCATATCTTATTTTTGACAACAAATACACATAAAGCTATCCTAACTACGCTAATTTATGGAGAGAAAAATAAATTTGAAAATATATTATTTATTTCCGAATGTGGTTGTAATTGCATCTGTGAAAACTTTCGAAAGCTACTTAGTTTCAGAAACTTTTAACTTATCTAAAACAAAAACATTTGCGTCCTGTTTAAAAATGAACGCTATTAATTCATCTGAAAGTCTGCCGTTGTAAGTAACAGTTTGATTTTAAACAGTCATTTATACGAGTATGTTACGCTCATTGTCCAATAGTCCACCTAATGTCAATATAAAAGTAATTTTGCAACAACCTCTATAGAATAAGGACAAACGAAAGAAAAAATGACACACACAGTAAATAATTTCCGTCTAAATTCGTCGCTAGGTAATGGTTTGACCAAGGGTTTTGCAGTTTTGTCGTCTTTTTTCTCTGTACTGTTAAAAAAAATGTAGCTGTCTCCAAACTTTTCTAAATAATCTCTAAATTCCTTTGGAAGATTGTTAATGTAAAGGTTGGCGTCACATTCTAGCCATTCACTATATGTAAAAGCTATGGTGACTCTCGTATGATATTCCCTTTGTCGATATTGCAGATACGTTTCCAATAAATCCATATCTTCAGTAGTAAAACGAAATGAAACAGGAAAGCAAAAGACTACATGATATTCTTCAGAAATTGAAAGTGTCGATAAATAGTCTTTCCTGTCTGCATTCAAGAATGTCATTTTAACTTTTCTTTTATATTTTGAATTAAATCCTTTAACTTCTTCATTTACGAAGTACGGTGTACTTTTTGTAGATTTTCTCTTAGGTTTTTCTTTCCCTGTTGTTCCGTATTTAATATCTATATCGGTTTTTTGCCAGCTTTCATCATTAACTGTTCCCAGCAAATAATTATGCAATAGATCCATTCCATATCCCTGTTTACCCAATAATATGACGTACTCTTCTTTATTACGTCTAGCCACTTCCTAAAAATACAACGAGAGTATATTAGATAATTTTTTTGTAGACAGTGTATAAATAATTTTTCAAGAAAACAGATATTTTCCCTCATGGATGCATTGATATATTGGTATCGAAAATGACAAAATATTTCCATATGATATGACCCAAAGTCTAATTTCTATATGCAAAGTCAGGATCATGACAGTCAAACAATAATAGTCCAAAGACTATGGTATAAAAAAATATTTGGTATAGAAAATAATCACACAGTTCACATTGTTAATACAAGCTTTTTCCTACAGTAAGGGGAAATGCATATTGCCATAAATATTCGATATCTCATCTGTCAGACAAAGAATAACCGACGTTTGTTTTAGAGCCAGTAATTGCATTGTTAATAGATACTGATTCATACATAAATCAATTCTTAGGCCTCGGTCTCCGAGTGGTATAAGTAGTTTAAATACTGAATGACTATCACCTAAGTTTGAATCCCGCAAGTGCGTTCAACTCGAATCTTAATTGAAAACGATTGTTATTTTCTCTGCCGAGGGTTGGGGTTGTCTGTTGGCACGAAGTCTTCCTCTACTGATAAAGTATAACCGATTCTTGGAAATGATGATTATGACAATATCAAAGTTGATACGAAAGAAAGACTGTACAGTGTCTATGGCTAGAATGACTATCTAGACATTGTTTTCACGTACCTTAGAAACATGATTACCATCACGAAACATAAGGTCACATGACCTAACAAATTATACATCATTGTCCCATATAAAATATAATTGGATTGAAACTTTCAGAGAGTTCTTATTTCCACTTTACTGTAATACGCGGGAAAATACATTTATCGAATAGGTATATGTTGATTGGCCAACACTGTTTCTTGACAAAGATGTATTTTGGAACGTTCGGTTGGAAAGTAAATGACTCATATCCATTTCATTACTATCTCTGACCTTGTATGTAGCCCTCATGATTTCTTCCAAACCAATAAGTTCCTTTATAAGTTCTGACCATATGGCTTTTTTAGCTGAAATATAATAACCATAGGAGTATCAAATTAGTACACAAAACATATTTATCTACATATTTCGCGCATATCAAGAAGACAATAAATAAGATGTTTTGAATTACTGCATAAACATATGTGATGTGTAAACATCCTTTTTGGAGTATTTAACTACATTCTGCCACCATTACAGGAATAAGTAAAACTAGACAAACTTCTTTGAACCCAGAGTATTTATCTGCCGAGTGATACAGTGGTTCTGTATTTATCAACTGAGATATATGGCATTAAAATGTTTGGTCGCAAAAGGAACTTTATAGGAAATATTTTTTCGTGTCACCTATTTAAATGAATACAAATCAGATAAGGCAGCGAATGTCAATATCCAAAATGAAAGCTGTAAGTTATATGAACTGGAATTCAGATCTGTGACAAGGGTTAATGAACTCAAAATCAGGTTCAAACTCAAATTTCTATCATTTTCTGCGTTTTTCATTGCACATACAGCCTCTCAATCACTCTTTTTTGGCACTGTTTGTTGTTGTATTGTACAGTCAGTTAAAAGATAAATATTTACTCTTTTCTTCACTTCGTCAATTAAATTTTTAATCTCCTGCTACGTAAAACTTGGACTCCTTTCCTTCCTCGTGATTATATATAATAAATATACTAATTATGTCCATATATACAGTACTACCTGTAACATTCTCTTATTAATGGTGGCCATAAAAACTATATGTATGTCCACCATGATGGCCCTATATGTCCATCATTATACCCCTGTTGCTTAATTAATACAAAAGATATTAATCAAAAACTAGTCAAATTAAAGGGAAATCATGATTGCATTTAAGTAATAAAATTATATAACTCACAGGTCAAGTGTCTCCCGTCAAATATATGTGTTTGTCAAATTTAATTACTGTTATTATGACAATAAAAATAAAAAAAAAATAAATGAAATAATAAAACTAGTTGAACATATAGATTAATACTATTTTTTTTTAAAATGTCTCATGACTGTTTTTTTTGCTGTTTTACCTTTTAAATAATTTTTTCTCAATTTAAGTTATTTTATACATGTATTTTTTTGGCAAGTGAATAATAAATGAATCTCTTATCATCTAATATTATATTGCAAAATGGCACAATGCCTGCCTTTTTCTATTGAAAAGGTGTTTCTCAAAATGTTTTTTTAAAAATTAAAATTGTTTAGGCTTAGAGATACTGATCTCCATTCAACATTGTTTAACAATGTTTTAGATTATTTTTAGGACTTATTCTAAATAAAATTTAGGCAATTCATTCTGTCTCTATTGAATAAAATATCCAAAATATTCATTACATCAAAATTTGATGATATCTGTATTGTCATATATACATATTACATTAATAATTAGTTTGTGACAAAAAAAAAAAACAAACTGAAAACAAACATTATAACGCAAAGAAATAACAATTCTATAAGAAATCAGAACACATGGAAAACAATTATAAGGTTTCTGCCCTTAGTTCTAATGACTTTTTTTTATAAAGTAGCGAATATTTTAAACATAGATGTTTAGCATTTCTTTTACTTTTTGTTCTTGGGTCAAAATGTGGGTAAGAGACATTATTATGAGAAGGTAAACAATTTTTAAATAGAGTATCTCTTAGTTGTTTTGTTAATTTTACAATCAAGGAGGAAGTGTTCTTCATCCTCCAGTAAGTTGCACAATTTACATATTCTATCCTTTCTAGGAATTTACATTATCAACTATTTTCAATTTTTAAATTCTGACCACTAATTCTTGAGTTTAATGTTTTCATCATAAGTTGTTATTCTATTTTCAAACGTATTCTTATATTTTTCTTTAAATTAATTTTTAGTCAAAGACTTTATAGAGTTTACTTCATTCAAGTCCCTACAATTATTGACTTTATCTAAAAGGCCTTGAATGAGTGAAATACGGGTTAACCGACAGAAAGTCAAAGGACATATGCATACAAAGAATATGTACCATGCGAGTCCAGCAGTTTCGACAATATAATACATAGAACAAAACGTGATTTGATTTAATAGTTCATAAAAATTTGACAATCTATAGAAGTGTACTTTATTTTTTCCGGAGACAAATTTTGGATGTTAACTGACAGAAATTAGCCAAACTGAAGATAACATATTCGATAAGTTTACTATTGTTCCAAAAAAAAAAACATTTTTTTCTTTAAATAATTTCTTTTCATAAGATTCACTTTTTTTAGAGATCAGGAAATTTTTCACTAGCATTTTTAATGAGCATTTATCAAACTTTGATGATATACTAGTATATTGAATGAAGGACAGAACGTTACTGAACAAAAAGTATGATACTTATTATAACTTATCGCCATCAACCTATGTTTTATGAACCCAATAAATGGCCAACATCTCAAGATTTGATACCCAATAAATGATCACCATTTGATGTTGACCAAACATGAGGGTGGACATAATTAAGAGAATGTCGCAGGTTGTACTGTAGTAGTTCATAAACATATTTACACGAGCATTTCGTGAAGCGGGTACTCGATGTACCAAATCTTTAAAGTATTCACATAAAATAACATTTTGAATATAATAACACATGAACGCGAAGTTTCAGAATTTCGATATTAAAAAGGTTAGTTATGAATATAAAATGTGTTTTCATCCGTGTATCACCTTCACCTTTACCAATAGACCACAACGAGTGTTGGTCAAGGGCCGACAGACTTCCTCGGGAATGGTTTTGTTTCCAGTAACTCAGGCTTTCGCACTGAACTCTTACAGTTTTAAGGAATTTATTCCTCCTCCCAAACATCAATTTGAAAAAAAAACTACCAGCGTATCGATTATTGATAATTTGTATAGCGATCAAGATTATTATTTTAAGCTTGACTAGATTATTATTTTAGTTTGACTACCACTTGTCAAGATAAGATTCATGTTACATCTTATTGATGAAGGATATTAGTTATCCGAAATATCTAACATTTGTTCATGATTTTATCATTTTTTGGTGATGCTGTACCCATTTAGACTTGTTATATATTATATTTTGTAGTGTACTGTATCATAATTATATGATTCATCGCCTCGTAAGATTTATCGTTGGCTATTATTCAGTCATTTAATATATATATATTGTTGCTGTGTTATACATATTTGTGTTTCGTTCATTTTTTGTACATTAATTCGGCCGTTAGTTTTCTCGTTTGAATTGTTTTACATTTGTGATTTCGGGGCCTTTTATAGCTGACTATGCGGTGTAGGCTTTGCTTATTGTCAAAGGCCGTACGGTGACTTATAGCTGTTGCTTTCTGTGTAATATTGTCTCTTGTGGAGAGTTGATAACAACGTTCAACCCTATGATTGCGTTGGATAAAAACCGCATTTTTTATACGTGTGCATGCAAAACAAATTTCTTGGTAGAGGGGTCTAAATATATATATATAAATATATATATATGAGTCTAAAAGATTGTGTAACAATACCGATAAATAGATTGAAAACAAAACACTAAAAAGTGTTGAATATCATCGCACAAAGATGCAAAAACTGAACAGATGATATAAATTATACAATACTTGCAATTATTTCGGCTCAACAAATGGCCTTCCTCAGTGTTAAAAGTTTTAACAATACTGATATATAATGTGTAAGGTGTAAACATAGATCAGTAATAATACAGGTAAATTTTGGTCGATTGATTTTAATCCAAAATCCTGAATATCATAATATTAACATTAGACTGTAAATTTAATTATTTCTTTCTATTGATTCCATTTGGATGGAGGACACCCAGTGTTTTTATCCAAAACTTCTCCCGATTCTCTCTTTGCCTATTTTGCCATGTACAATCCTGTTCGATATGGAATCAATAGAAAGAAATAAGTAAATTTACAGTCTAATGTTTATATTTATTTTATCCTCAGGTGCATTTTTCTTGCATTCTTTCTTGTCTGATTTAGGTGTTTTATTATCAGATTCTATCATGTCTTTTTTAGATTGTTCCGTTTTATTCTCAGTTTCTTTCATGTCTGTCTTAGGTTTATTGGTTTTATTTTCAGTGAAAAGTCGAGCTACAGCTTTCCTTGTTGGTGCTACTTTAAAGATGTATCTACGCCACATCGTAATGCTGATGAAGATAAACTAAAACGAAACACAAGTTTATAACAAAAGTTTTTTTTTTATCCCTATCAAATTTCATTTTAATATTTTACTATAGAAATATTACATGAGGTCCGTATACCAGCATAATGAAAAAGCATTTGCTAAATGCAAATAGCAATGTGTAGGGCATGAGACAAATATTTTAGGTCATAAGACTGGCTCTTGATTTACAATATCAACTATCGTAGGCTTTAGTAAATTTCTAAACTCTAATGTCGTTAAATGAAATGCATCATTGTGCATCGCCACTGATATTAAAAAGGCGGAAAATTAACATGATTAACTTCTTTCCTTTGAATGTTTTTAAATTTAAAAATGCAATTATGTGAATATGTATCAGAAACATGTTTTTCGCATAAATTTCAAAAATTTTTTTTTTACAAATAGAAAAAATATAATAACGTATAGCAGTACTTATTTTCTGCTTGACATTTTCGATGCACTACATTATCGAATTGCAGATTATTTGCTGCACCTCATTTAAAGCATTTTACTGTAATGAAAGATGTACTTAATATGCTAGATGTATACTCACAGAAACTATGATGATATGTATAAAGAAGTATATATTTTCTTTGTTAACATTTCTTAACGTTTAAGCAGTAACGTTTATTGGCAGATTGTAGGTATTTTTGAGGGCATTTTTAATAGCAGACATGTTCCTGTACTGTTAGGAATCACAGTTAATGGCCAAATTCATTTAAAGTTCGTATCAATTCCAATGAAATAATAACTTCAAATACCACTTACCTTTACATTGATGATATGGTTGCTTAAAATAATCAGGAACTCTCTAATTTTACCGTAGAAATTTACAAAAGAGAACTTACTTTTAATAATCATATTATTAATATGAATAACAGTCCTTTTCTTGATTTACTTATTTCAGTTTTAAAAGAGAAAATCTGATAAAGAAATCGCGACATAAAAAGAGACAACTTTTCGTTCCGTATTGTTAGTTTTCCTTTTTTGACGGTCGTGTTCCCTTCTTACGGTGTGTGTGTTTCCCAAATTTTTCGCTATGCTCGTGTCTATAGAAAAGAGTTATATTTCAATGGACCTAATCTTTGTATAACTTGTTAAACATACAGTAAGGAATATCGTTACCATGAATTTACTTCAAACTTTTGTTGTTTTTTTTTTCGTGTAAATGTAGAATTTTTATAAAAACGGGATATCACAAACTATTTTGTACGGCAAGATTGTTTATAAAGCACATATATTTGAATATGATTGAAGATAAATTACTAATCCCTTGACGTAATTTATTCTGAAAGATATCATTTTAAAAGTGTCCCAAAATCAGATTCTTTGAATATGGGTTTTATTGGTACCAAATTGATTTTGTATTCGATAAAATAAAACATACCGATGTATGTATTGCTTTGCATTTATGCATACAAATAGTCCTATATACTGGCAATATTATGGGATATGTTGGTACTGCACATGGCCATGTTTTTTTTTACAGACTGCTTTTCACGACTCTAAACCCAATCAAACATTGGTGTCAATATACATGTAATGGAATTTTATGCGACTGTCATACAAGTGAAAGGTTTACCTAACTATCAAACTGGGCTTAATCTACTATTTTCTACATAAGAAAATGCCTGTACCAAGTAAGGAATATGACAGTTGTTTTCCATTTGCTTGATTTGTTTGAGTTTTTGATTTTGCAATTTGATAAAGGACTTTCCGATTTGAATTTTCCTTGGAGTTTGGTATTTTTGTTATTTAACTATTTTCAGTTCTTTAAGTTGGGAAGTGCTTGTGAACGTTCATATCTTCCCATATTTGAAACTATTGTGAAAAAGTACAACTGCAAGGAATTCAACTGAACATATCAGTTGAAAAGAGCTTCACTCATTAGATTGGTACTCAACATCTAATCAAAATAATTAAAAGGCAAAAGAAACCCCACATATTTCTGAGTAATGGTAGTTAGTGAAAGCTAATCAACTACAAATAGACGATGTTCCCCAGCTTAAACTGTCAATACATTACGAACAGATGTATAGGAAATACACCAGTCATAACTGAGTATTACATTACGCGCGTCTTGTGTATTAAACAATAAGCCTGATATATGTGACGAAATTTTACAAGTAGAGTTGGGTGCAGACCAAGCATAACATAAAGTAAATGCGCGTTTACTATAATTACTTTAATGTGGTTAAAATGGAAACGTGCGTTTACTCGTTGTCCGTTTAATCAGTATTCAACGGTCGCTTTACACACTACACGCGCGTTTTCTCTTACTGTTATTTATTTGTAAAATATATAAAAACACTTTTTTTCTTGTTCAAATGAATTTTATTTTATATTCAAGTTTGTATATAAAGCAATAACCTTTTTACGGTAGATTTAATTAGGCAATGCTTCAAGACTAAAACTAAAACAATTGACATCAAACGATCTAAGAAATTTTGTTTTCAGACAATACCCTTAACTCAAAATATTTGTCGTAGTTCACGGCTTACTGCATTTTGTAATGATTTTGTTAATAGACTTATTTATACGATGTATGATAGAAATTTGATTAACCCGCTTTTACTCTGCAGACCAAAGAAATTGCTTTTTATAAAAAGAAAAAAAAAAAAAACACCTACAGGCTCGTACAAGAATATTATAAATGGAAAGGAGAATTGTTGGCACTTTTTAGTGTTATCGACATATCTATAAGTAACCATAAATTTAAAGAGCTCTCAATTTGTGTAAAACTATCCATCCTGAGGTACCGAATGAACCAAAGTTTAATGCCGGTACATAATGATCAAGAAACAAGGGAAATATTGGCACCTTGTATTGATGCTGATAACAAATTGTGCAATTTTTAACTCAGATACCTTCCCTATAATGACAAATAATCCATTATGGGGTATAAAAAGTACTCCCTTATCTGGCAAGTACGTGAGTATTATGTTAAAAAAGAGAAATGTTGGCACGTTTGATTGTTATAGACATATGTGTTAGAAACATTAAAATTAAAGAACTCTCAATTTGTGTAAAACTATCTATCCTAGTGTACTAAACGACGAAAAATTAATGCTGTTAAATAATATTTTAACAAAGGGGAACAAATTGGCACCTTACATTGATGTTGACAACGAAATGTCAACTTTATAAACTTAGATTCCTTCTCTATGACAAACAGTCCATTTAAGGGTATACAAAGTACTCCATTAGCAGGCCAGTATTATGTTAAAAAAGACAAATATTGACACTTTTGATTGTTATAAACATATGTATTAGAAACCCACAATTAAAGAGCTCTCAATGTGTGTCAAAACTTGATGTTCTAAACGAAACCAATTTAAAGATGTTACATAATATTCTAACAAAGGGAAAAATATTGGTACCTTATATTAATGCCTAAAACAAGTTTTGCAATTTCAAAATTATCTTTCTTCACTTGTATGTCTTACAATCATTGAGTATAAGGAAATAAGTTTTATCTTCAATTGCAAATTTGTATGTTGACCCAAATTTTTAAACCTCATTTAATGCAAAATTGTAAAAAGCATGCGAAAATGATATTTCAGAAAACATCAGGAGTAAGTGTTCAACTGTTGACAACATTGTTTACGGCAAAATTATATTGGTCAGGCTTCAAGAAATATCATGAATCGGAACATTTAGTTTTTGGACCATGTGATCGTTTTAAAATCCATGTCCACTGACGAAATAAATTAATAAGGTTTTACGCTTCGGAAAGAAATATTTGTTTGTTACCTATGGACAATTTTAAATTTTCAATTATTTAAATACGCATCATAACATGCATTGTAATTGTTAATTTATATATTTCTTGAAAATTGGGCTGTTGAGCAATTTTACATGGCTAGTCATTTGGTATGATTAGTCAGTCTATCCAGGATACCCTTATAAATGTGCGTTTTACTTCTAACAAAATCAGAATTCGTGCCTTTTTCACGTTAACCTGGAGGTAAATGTCAAAGTAAATACCCATCTACTTTTTATATCTAATGACTTTGTTGAGATCACGGGCAGTTTTCATCGATTGAATGAACGCCGTGCTATATTTTTTATTACGGTTTACATTCAATGCTTGGTCTGCACCCAACTGTACTGCTAGCGGTAGTTTTGTTTCAAAACTTTCACCTGTCCGGTAGTGATCATTCCTTCGCTTACTTCAAAAATCATTTATACGGTCATTTTTTTTTTAAATCTGCTTTATAAAGAATGTCAATTTTATAAACACTAAGGTTTTTCGACCCTTGTAAAAGATTGCTTTGCTCGAATCTTTGGTCTACAATACTCTTGAACTTAATATTTGATTTAACCTTCACATAAATTTGATTCGACCGCCACGAGACGAAATGCGAGTATGACGTTCAAAATTATAATCCTGGATTCTTTGATGATTTCTTACTCTTCATCAAATTAATATTTGTTGACAGGTTTCATTCAAAGAATTAATAGGTTAGCATAACTCCTATTTTAATTTTTACGAACTCTATAAACAACATCATAGTGAAACTAATGAGGTTATATATACAGGAACAGCAACACACTTCAAAATGAAATCCCTTGTCTAGAAATAATTGTATTAAGGTTTAATAAACGAGTTAGAAAATATACACATAAGAGAAGGGTCAAAAGAACACAACCCTCCAGTCCTGGTAAAAAATGCTGTGAATCTGATGAAACAGAAATATCGAAATAAGTTTAAGAGGATAAGCATGGATGTTTATATTAATTTTTTTTATACTCAGATCTCTGGGGTAGATGTTTTTAGTAAGGTTTGGATTTCTTAGTTATTTAAAGCAGCACAATGTTAATGCAAGTTTTATTACATTATTATATCTAATGAAAGTAAGAGTTTATGAAACTTGGCCATAACCTGCGATTTATAACAATACAGGAGCTAGTGTCATATATAAAGGGTACAATATGTACACAAAGTAATACCAACATGTTGTAGATAGATTTTTTTTTCCGAAACACACATTTGAAGGTTCAATATTGAAAATCGGAACGTATTAAAATTGTAAAACTATATCTTTAACTTACTTTTCTTTTCAGAAATATCCAAACGCTACATGGACAACCATTCGTACATTCCTCATGCTAAAGGGAAAGGAAAATGCATAGTCATCGTAATAGACCTGTAAAGTCAAATTGCAGCCACACTAGAAGAGAAATAATTTAACGGATGATAAATGCAAAAGCCTTATAAGAAGACTATCGCCATCACATTTTGTGAACAATTTAACTATAAACCCGTTTAAAAAGCAAATCGATTGCACACAAATATGGCTGTTATCGCTTGTTTATAACTTGTTTTTCTAACAATGAAAGCAAATTCAGACAGATATGGTGAATAAAAAAAAAAGTCAAATATATTCACACCAATGAATATTTCTATATATTCAAACAAACACGAAGATCAACCAACCACATACACGAAAAAAAAAATGAATGAATGAATGGATAAACACAAAGGTGATTTTAAAACAAGTGAATCAAAAAAATTTAACATTAATGTGATCGATTTAACCTGTTATTGATTGAACAAACAGACATAATAGGTAAAAATGTCAAAAAAAAGAGTACAGCAGTCAACATTGCGTTATAATCTTAATCACTATAAAAACAACCAAAATATGTCAACAAAGAAAACCAAAAAGGCATATAGACAAAGCACACAAGCAAAAATGAAAGACAAGAATACAAAAATTTACATATTATATACCATAGCACAATAACACAATGACGGGAAAATTAAGTACCGAGCCACGTCAAATGGATATTACCAAAAGTGGACTAAACAGTAAAAGTAATAATTCACAAAGACAAATAAAAGATCACTATAACACGTAATTAGGATGATAAACAACGTCAGTACCTATAATCTATACATCAAGACCATCGTGTACCATCTGGGATGTCTTTACGGAATATTTATCAACAAGGTCTTGGTATCTTCCGATGAACATTTAAAAAAAAAAAGACGAGACGTTCTTTGACATAACCCTGGAAAAACTTGTAAACGCACAGGTATATGAAAAAATAATTTTGATCTTTTTTTATCATTTTACACAATGATTATGTACGTAAAAAATAAATACATGTTGTATTTATCTCGTTCAAATATGACTTCATTTCTGTATGATAAAAAAATAATCCATTAAGATTGGTGTCTTAATTGTCAATAAACTCATCATAGATACCAGGATTGAAATTTTGTAAATTGATATTAAATGGAGTTATTTCAAAGTCGATAGGAAAAAATAGTGTTACAGATAGGTGCGGTCCTAACCTGTACAAAAGTTAACTTTGAGCAGACTTGTTGACTGCTTTTCAAGTTAACTTGGGAAATTTTAAGCAGACAAGCAAGTTAACTTTGTCGTTGGTAGACCAGACCTACGGTCTGCTTTTTAGGACTGCTGCAGACCTATTGACGGGTCTGCTCCAGACCAGACCTGTGGACAAGTCTGCTTTTGACCAGTCCTGAGGACAGGTCTGCTCCAGACTAGACCTGTGGACAGGTCTGCTCCAGACCAGACCTGTGGACAAGTCTGCTATTGACCAGACCTTTGAACAGGTCTGCTTATGATAGATTACCGTGTTTATGACTTTTGATATCAGACCTGAGCTTTTAATATGTAAACAATAATCCCATCGTTCTTTTTTCCCTGTATAGCAAATTTCTTTACTCGTTAGACTCTATCGATATTATACACATTAAAAAAAAATCTTTTTTTTTATTTCATGTAGTATTATATACATTAAACAAAGGCTATAAAATTACACACTTGTGATCACATACAGCTATCGTTAGAAAAAGGAAAGTTTTTATTTAATCAGAAGGCGGATAGAAAGGCTATCCAACGCATCGGAACAATATTTTTATGTCATGGGATTTCAACATCATTGTCGACGTTGCTTCGTTCCCCATTTTTTACAGTCTCTTCCTAAATTAAACTTTATGCATTACATGGATATTTCATCGTAATTCACCTTGTTTGCCTTGGATTTACGATTCTGTTTTCGACAAAATATTCTAACGAAAATTGTACAGTGTCCGGATACGTAAGGTGTTGAATAATTATGAATAATCTCGTCAATTTTGTCAGATTTGTCTTTACGGATTAAAAATGATAATATGGGACTTCCAAAACAATATACTCGTTGTGCACATGAATGAAATAGTTGCCACTTGAGGTTTAGCTACAAACAAAATCAATCAACCGACATAATGTACCAACAGTATACTATTCCCAGAAGAGAACTTCTTATACTTTTCATTATAAAGTAAAAATGAAATCAGACATGTTAGTGTTGGATGATGCAGTCAAATAGTTTTGTTATACACACCATCTTGAACTACTAACTTTAGTGATGGTCTAATATTATTAATACAGAGATGAAATGCTGACAATCTAAATCGATGCGGAAAAGATATTGCATCCATTGTTTTCCAATATTGCTGGCATTTGTATTATAATACAGTACATCCTGACATTAAAAAAAACTTCTGATTAAATATTATGCAGCCATATAGATCTACATACTAAAGTGCAAATATGGTCAGTTTTAGTTGATACGGTCATAACATTTTGCTATACCAGTCAGACTGAGGTATCAAAAGTACTGAAATTTTGTTACATATCAGTATATTGAGCAACAGGAGGACATGCTGGCACTCTAAATTGATGCGGACAAAATTTTGTATTCATTGTGTTCCAATATTACTGTCATTTGTATTATACATTAAATCCTGACATAAAATATTACTGAATTAATATGCGGCTATAAAGATTTACATAATAAAGTGCAAATATGGTCAGTTTTGGTTGATGCGGTCTAATAATTTTGCTATACAAGTCAGCCATGGGTATCAAAACTACTGAAATTTAGTTACGTATCAATATATCATGTATATTGACCAAAAGGAGGACATGCTGGCACTCTAAATTTATGAGGACAAAAATTTGTAGTTGTTGTGTTCCAATATTGCTGTCATTTGTATTATACATTAAATCCTGACAAAAAAATAGTTGCTGATTTACTATGCGGCTATAGAGATTTACAAAATAAAGTGCAAATATGGTCAGTTTTGGTTAATGTGGTCAAATAAGTTTGCTATACAAGTCAGGCTGAGGTATCAAAACTACTTAAATTTAGTAACATATCAATATATCATGTATATTGAACAAAAGGAGACATGCTGGCACTCTAAAATTATGCAGACAAAATTTTGTAGTTGTTGTGTTCCAATATTGCTGTCATTTGTATTATACATTAAATCCTGACATAAAAATAGTTGCTGATTTACTATGTGGCTATATAGATTTACAAAATAAAGTGCAAATATGGTCAGTTAAATAATTTTGTTATAGGAGTCAGCCTGGGGTATCAAATCTACTGCAAATATGGTCAGTTTTGGTTAATGTGGTCAAATAAGTTTGCTATACAAGTCAGGCTGAGGTATCAAAACTACTGAAATTTAGTAACATATCAATATATCATGTATATTGAACAAAAGGAGGACATGCTGGCACTCTAAAATTATGCAGACAAAATTTTGTAGTTGTTGTGTTCCAATATTGCTGTCATTTGTATTATACATTAAATCCTGACATAAAAATAGTTGCTGATTTACTATGTGGCTATATAGATTTACAAAATAAAGTGCAAATATGGTCAGTTTTGGTTGATACGGTTAAATAATTTTGTTATAGGAGTCAGCCTGGGGTATCAAAACTACTGAAATTTTGTTAAGTATCAATATATTGAACAAAAGGAGGACATGCTGGCACTCTAACTTTATGCGGACAAAAATTTGTATTTTGTGTTTTAATATTGCTGTCATTTGTATTATACATTAAATCCTGACAAAAACATAGTTGCTGATTTACTACGCGGCTAAATAGATTTACAAAATAAAGTGCAAATATGGTCAGTTTTGGTTGATACGGTCAAATAATTTTGTTATAGGAGTCAGCCTTAGGTATCAAAACTACTTAAATTTTGTTACGTATCAATATATTGAACAAAAGGAGGACATGCTGGCACTCTAAATTTATGCGGACACAAATTTGTAGTTGTTGTGTTCCAATATTGCTGTCATTTGTTTTATACATTAAATCCTGACATAAAAATAGTTGCTGAATTATTATGAGGCTATAAAGATTTACATAATAAAGTGCAAATATGGTCAGTTTTGGTTGATGCGGTCTAATAATTTTGCTATACAATTCAGCCTGGGGTATCAAAACTGCTGAAATTTAGTTACGTATCAATATATCATGTTTATTGACCAAAAGGAGGACATGCTGGCACTCTAAATGTATGCGGACAAAATTTTGTAGTTGTTGTGTTCCAATATTTCTGTCATTTGTATTATTTATTAAATCCTGACATAAAAATGGTTGCTGATTTACTATGCAGTTATATATATTTACAAAATAAAGTGCAAATATGGTCAGTATTTGTTAATGCGGTCAAATAATTTTGCTATACAAGTCAGCCTTAGGTTTCAAAACTACTGAAATTTAGTTACGTATCAATATATCATGTATATTGAACAAAAGGAGGACATGCTGGCACTCTAAATTTATGCAAACAAAGTTTTGTAGTTGTTGTGTTCCAATATTGCTGCCATTTGTATTATACATTAAATCCTGACATAAAAATAGTTGCTCATTTACTATGTGGCTATATAGATTTACAAAATAAAGTGCAAATATGGTCAGTTTTGGTTGATACGGTCAAATAATTTTGTTATCGGAGTCAGCCTGGGGTATCAAAACTACTGAAATTTTGTTACGTATCAATATATTGAACAAAAGGAGGACATGCTGGCACTCTAAATTAATGCGGACAAAAATGTGTTATTGTTGTGTTCCAATATTGCTGTCATTTGTATTATACATTAAATCCTGACATAAAAATAGTTGCTGATTTACTTTGCGGCTATATAGATTTACTAAATAAAGTGAAAATATGGTCAGATTTGGTTGTTACGGTCAAATAATTTGGTATAGGAGTCAGCCTGAGGTATCAAAACTACTAAAATTTGGTTGCGAGACAATATTTTGATTAAAAAGAGGACATGCTGGCAATCTAGATTGATACGGACAAAATTTTGTATTCACATTATGTTCCAATATTGCTGTCATTTGTATTATACAATACATCCTGACATAAAAATAGTTGCTCATTTACTATGTGGCTATATAGATTTACAAAATAAAGTGCAAATATGGT